AATTAGATCCTGTAGAACTTTTTTAAACTTTCAGCCCTGTTTTCAGATGGCCTGTGCTTTCCAGTGGGTTGGCAGTGTTGAGGTTTTTCCTGTTCACAGGACTGTAAGAAACCCAGTCAGTTACCTTCCATCTGCTTCCTTACTAACCAGTCTTGTACTTGTCAGAGCTTTGTTTTGTCCACTTATATGCAATGGTTCATGGTTTTGTTATAGATAATGTCTCTGGGTCTTTGGTTTTCTCAGTTTGCTCTTTTTGTAGGGGAGGTTGGGAGGGAATAAAACCAAAAAAATAAATAAATAATAACTATGTCACTGCTGTCATCATCTTTCCAGAACGTGCCATCTGCCCTTCACCTGATTTCTGTATTTATCAGTATCATTACCTTAATCTGTTATCTCATTGGGATTGCAAAATGGCTGTTTAGGGGAAAAAAAATTCCATCTGCTTGTCCTACATATATACCTGGCACTGTTTTTTCTCATCATTGGGTGCCATTCGATTACCTTGAAAAACAGTTCTACTGAAGAGGCATGATAAAATAGATTTAAGGTTTTTAGAGTAAGAAGTTAATGTAAAAACTTTAATAGTGACAATTTAATTTTGTTTTTTGGTTGGTTTTGCTGCCTTTTTGAATATTAAGAAAATGTTTTTGTATTTAATATGTTTCACAGTCATTACTCTAAATGATACTCAAATTGCTTAGCCTTCGTGTGCTTTTAAAATGACTCTTAGATTTTGAAATTTCTAGCTAATCTTGAACATTCATTCTCAGCCCTGGAATAAGTTATTTTTCCAATAAATTGTTGGAGAATGGCATTTAGAAGTCAGATTTTAGATGCAAAGTATGGCCTTTGGTTTTGAATGTTACTACTTGTAGGCCTTATCAGAGGACAGAACTAGGAAAGTAATCTTTCTAGTGTATCCTGAGAATCATCCTACATCATTGCAGAGGTGTTTTCCATTTTGTTTTGTAGGACTGAATACTGCTACTTTGTGAGGATGCAGCATAGCTTATCAATATTTATAGGCATCGAGGTTATTTTTAACCTTTTGCTGTTAGTACTAATGTCACAGTGAATCCTCTTATGTTCATGCATTATTCCTTACATATGTAAGGTATCATTAAGATAAATTGTTAGAAGTGGGATTGTTGCATCAAATGGTAGATGCATATATAATTTTGCTAGATACTGCCAAATTCTCCTTCACAGAAAAGTAACATTTTGCATTCCCACCAGCAGTTTACAACAGTATCTCTTTTCTTAAAACTTTCCAAACATAATGTGTTGTTAAATGTGGATGTTTACTTATCTGCCAATTGAGAAATGGTATTTTACTATACTTACAATTTTTGAGTTTACCTCAGTTATGAATGATGCTGGACATTTTTTCTTGTACTTAAGAGGTGTTTATAGTTTTATATGGTCTTTTGCTCATTTTGCTGCTCGGTTGTTTTCTTCATTTTTAGAAACTTTATATGTTAAGAAGATTAGTCCTTTAATGCTGGTAAATTTGCAAATATTTTTTCCCAGTTTGCCATTTGTCTTTTAACCTTGCTTATAGGATTTTTGCCAAGTGAAAGCTTTTATGTTTATGTAGTCAGCTATTAATCTTTTTCGTTACTATGCTTTGATACGCATTTCTTTAGTTAGGTTTATTTTATTCATTTTCTTTGTTTTTTAATTTTCTAGACTCTGTCCTCAGAAATTTTAGTCATATTGCTTCTTCTTTGGTCACCTTATAATAAAATTAGCCTTTGTTTCCAAAACTACTTTGCATATTTCTTCAGTATTTTTTAGTATTCTTATTTCTATTTAAGATGTGCTCATTTCTCTCTGAATTTGTATTTCTTATCATTGGTGGTCTGTCTTGTCTGCTGCTACATTCTCCCTTTGTGTTGGAATGTGGTGTTACGAGTTTCCTGTTGTTTATGACTGAATTTTTCTGGTGTACTTTTGTCTACCGGAAAGTTTTGCTTCTCATTTGCCAGACTCTTTCCATAATAACTTTATTTGGACTTAGGAATTCTGTTTTTCTTGTTTATGTTTCTATAATAGATGTTACTTTTTTTCTGGACATGTTATTACTAGACCTTAGAGTGGAGCAGAGAGGAATTTGTATGGCTTTAGGGGTCTTGGCTGAAGGCATCCCTCTTCTGTTGCTTTAGTAAGGGCAGAATCACCACTTTCTGATTTTTCAGCTCCATCCACTTAATGAAGATTCTTTTTCATTAGCTGCTTCCACCCCTTTACAGCCACTTAAGGGACACTTCTGCTTTCCAAGGTACCCGTCTTCCTTTCATGCATGGTGCATTCCTGAGCCTGCCATTGCTGGACCCAACTACTTTTCTGTAGTCCTTCCTTTAACCACCCCGTTGCCAGTGCTCTAACCTGCCCTCAGTAGTGCTCTGTTGAGGGGCAGGTGGTGGAGGCGGGTGCGGTCTGGCCTTAGGTGATCCCTAATCGGTATGATTCTGCACAAGCCACTCTTCGATGTAGCTCCTGCTGGACCCTGCTCATTTCCCCACTTCTATGGTATTTGGAGTTTAATGCTCTGTCTCCTAGTTTTACTCTAGACCTAAGTCATAGGGTTTTTTTTTTTTTATTTCTCCCCTTTTTGATCTGGATAGATTTTTAGAGATGTTAGTAGGATGTGATCGATACAGCCACCACTTTTTTGTGGAAACCTGGAAGCCTCTTCATTTTTTCTTCAGCTTTCTAAATAAATGCATTCTTATTTAATTCACCGTGTTAATGTAACACACATAACACTTATAGGAAGAGACAAATTTTGTTCCCTAATTATTTTCATTGTATAAAATTTTTAAAGGTTTCATTTAAAAGAAAGACCAAAGCAGCAGCTATATAGCGGGACTGGTCATTGTGACCACTACTCATCTGCCACTTCCTGCAGGGTCTGTCTCTCCTCTTCGGTAGTGCTCTTTGATCTGCCTCCTTAGGTGTAGCTGGTTCAGTTAAGCTTCAGAGCCCCACTGCAGTGTGAGGAGGCTTTATTACCACCCACTGCAGGGCAGCTTTTCTGCTATGTTGGAGGGCTCTGTGCTACAGCAGACTTCTTTTCTCTTGCCAGCCTCCCCAAAAGGAATGTCATGAACTGGGGTCTGATTCCTTTCCTCCTTAACTGAGAGATGCTCCTGCTAGTTTCGCGTCCCGTTTTCTGTGGTTGTGTGTTTCTTTTTTGTTTTCTCTGGCTGACTGGTAGATTCATAGAGGGGCAGGGAAGGGAAGTGGCAAGAGATTGGAGAAAGCCAAGAATTCTAATAAAACCTTTAATTTATTTCAGATAAATGGTGTTGCAGCAACAAAAATGCCAGCATTTTGGTAATAAAAATAGTATGTTGGAATATTAGAATATCAAAAACTAGAAAATGGTAATTACTGATTTGGGATGTGTGATGTTCTCTGCTAATATTCTGGAAAGAATTTTGTTTGTTTGTTTGTTTGTTTGTTGAGATGGAGTGGTGCTTTTTTCCCAGGCTAGAGTGCAATGGTGTGATCTCAGCTCATTGTAGCCTCCACCTCCTGGGTTCAAGCGATTCTCCTGCCTCGGCCTCGCAAGTAGCTGAGGTTACAGGCATCCGCCACCACACCCGGCTAATTTTTGTATTTTAGTAGAGATAGGGTTTCAACATGTTGGTCAGGCTGATCTCGAACCCCTGACCTCAGGTGATCCACCCACCTTAGCCTTCCAAAGTGCTCGGATTACAGGCGTGAGCCACCACACCAGGCTCTGGAAAGAACTTTCTGAATAAATATTAAAATGCATTTTATATAAGCGACTAAAAATACTTTTTTAAAAAAATGTTTTAATCTTAACATTATTTAGCTATGGACCAGGCGTGGTGGCTCATGCCAGCAATCCCAGCACTTTGGGAGGCCAAGGTGGGCAGATCATGAGGTCAGGAGATAGAGACCATCCTGGCTAACATGGTGAAACCACACCTCTACTAAAAGTAGAAAAAAATTAGCCAGGTGTGGTGGCGGGCACCTGTAGTCCCAGCTACTTGGGAGGCTGAGGTAGGAGAATGGTCTGAACCCAGGAGGTGGAGCTTGCATGAGCTGAGATCGCACCACTGCACTCCAGCCTGGGTGACAGAGTGAGACTCTGTCTCCAAAAAAAAAAAAAAAAAAAATTATTTAACTATGAACTAGTGTATATATGTTTTATAGATGCCTGATTATTCAAACAAACTTCAAGATTGCACTTTATGAGCTTGTATTTCGTTTTTTAGAACTCAAACTAACGTAAGTGTCATTAAAACATAGCTTTTATTACATAGATTTTAGGAATGCCAGAGGATAAATCATTCTCTTAAAATAACTGCACGTGGCAGAAATGTCAGAATAATTCTCCTCCTCCATACATAGCACATATTACTTGTTAAAAGTATTCTAGTTCCTATAAAAATTGAACTTTTGTATTATTGCTCTTAGGTATGTATGTAGTTGTTTGCATTTGGGGCCAGTTGGTTGGGGCAGGGGGTCTTTTTTTTTCTTTTGTCCTTAATCTGTATCACTTTTCCCCCCCAAAGTTGAGTTAAAGGATGAGTAGACAAGGAGAATAATGGAGAAAGGATAAATAAAATATATACCCAAAGGCACCTGGAGTTAATTTTTCCCAATATTCCTTTCAGTCTTTTTCAATTCATAGGATTTTGTCTTTTGTTTGTTACTGACTACATAATGTGATTATACCATAGTTTACATAGTCATTTCTTGTTATTACACACTTGAGTTTTCTCAATTTTTTACTATTGTAGTACTAATATTTTACTATATTGTAATCTAAATTTTTATGTATTCAGAACTGTTTAAGAGAAATTTGCTTGGAAATTATTAAATCACCAGAAGTGATATTATCCTGATAATTAACTTCCAAGTTGTCTCTTAATATAGTTTAAATGCAAATCATAAGCTTATATTAGTACCAGTCATAATGAATGCCAAACTGAAACCAGTATTGTATTTTTTCTCATTAGGGAGTTCTGGGAAATCGTTCATTCATTTACAGATGAACAGAAAAGACTCTTCTTGCAGTTTACAACGGGCACAGACAGAGCACCTGTGGGAGGACTAGGAAAATTAAAGATGATTATAGCCAAAAATGGCCCAGACACAGAAAGGTAATTATTAAGTGGTGACTCTATACCTACTGAAAACCTTGCATTCCTCATCACACACATATGAACTGTCTTTATAGTTTCTAAGCACCTTTGTGATTTTATGTACAAATCCTCAAATCATATTAGACAATTGAGAAAATATTTTGCTGTCATTGTGTGAGGAAACTTTTAAGGAATTGCCCTAGTTAAAAATTATTATGGGACTCACATTGGTTTGGAATTTTTCAAATTAGTATGATTCATTTACTTTTTTGATTCCCAGCTTGTTAGTTGAAAGCCATGTTACATGATAATCTATTTAGAATGGTTACATTGAGGCTTGGAAGATTATCATTCGATTATGCTAGAATCCCGTTATCAAATCATTTTCATAGTCATATTGCCAGCAGTATTTCTAATACGCATTTAAGAGCACACAGTTTGAAATCTTGTAAACCAGGTTTGAATATTTTCTCCACCTTAGAGGAAGTTACTTCTCAGTGACCTAACCTTTGAAGTGCATTTACTGATGTCCTCTCTGTGGTTTTGTTGTGGAAAGATTTAGTGAAATGAACTGTAATAATTAAATACCTAAAACAGTATCTGGTATGTAGTAAAAACTCAATGGATAAGTATCTTATCATCATTGTTACTAGCTTTGAGTAATTTATAGGATAAAGACAAACTGATTCTTGGTATTACACAACAAAAAGTTTATGATTTGCATTAATGTATAGTTTGCATTGCAAACCATCTCAGCTATATATAATTCTAAGTGTATTTCCCATGACTTATTATTTTCCTGTTTTTTCCCTTTTTCTCTATTTAGGTTACCTACATCTCATACTTGCTTTAATGTGCTTTTACTTCCGGAATATTCAAGCAAAGAAAAACTTAAAGAGAGATTGTTGAAGGCCATCACGTATGCCAAAGGATTTGGCATGCTGTAAAACAAAACAAAATAAAACAAAAAAAGGAAGAAAAAAAAAAAAGAAAAAATTTAAAAAATTTAAAAAATATAACAAGAGGGATAAATGTTTGGTGGTGATAGTGTCCCAGTACAAAAAGGCTGTAAGATAGTGAACCACAGTAGTCACCTCTGTCTGTGCCTCCCTTCTTTATTGGGGACATGTGGGCTGGAACAGCAGATTTCAGCTACATATATGAACAAATCCTTTATTATTATTATAATTATTTTTTTGCGTGAAAGTGTTACATATTCTTTCACTTGTATGTACAGAGAGGTTTTTCTGAATATTTATTTTAAGGGTTAAATCACTTTTGCTTGTGTTTATTACTGCTTGAGGTTGAGCCTTTTGAGTATTTAAAAAATATATACCAACAGAACTACTCTCCCAAGGAAAATATTGCCACCATTTGTAGACCATGTAACCTTCAAGTATGTGCTACTTTTTTGTCCCTGTATCTAACTCAAATCAGGAACTGTATTTTTTTTTTAATGATTTGCTTTTGAAACTTGAAGTCTTTGAAACAGTGTGATGCAATTACTGCTGTTCTAGCCCCCAAAGAGTTTTCTGTGCAAAATCTTGAGAATCAATAAAGATGGAAGGGAGAAATTGGAATGTTTTAACTGCAGCCCTCAGAACTTTAGTAACAGCACAACAAATTAAAAAACAACTCATGCCACAGTATGTTGTCTTCATGTGTCTTGCAATGAACTGTTTCAGTAGCCAATCCTCTTTCTTAGTATATGAAAGGACAGGGATTTTTGTTCTTGTTGTTCTTGTTATTTTAAGTTTACTGGGGAAAGTGCATTTGGCCAAATGAAATGGTAGTCAAGCCTATTGCAACAAAGTTAGGAAGTTTGTTGTTTATTATAAACAAAAAGCATGTGAAAGTGCACTTAAGATAGAGTTTTTATTAATTACTTATTACCTAGATTTTAAATAGACAATCCAAAGTCTCCCCTTCGTGTTGCCATCATCTTGTTGAATCAGCCATTTTATCGAGGCACGTGATCAGTGTTGCAACATAATGAAAAAGATGGCTACTGTGCCTTGTGTTACTTAATCATACAGTAAGCTGACCTGGAAATGAATGAAACTATTACTCCTAAGAATTACATTGTGTAGCCCCACAGGTTAAATTTAATTCAAAACATGTTAAACATTACTTTCATGTACTATGGAAAAGTACAAGTAGGTTTACATTACTGGATTTTCGGAAGTAAGTAGTTTCCCCTTTCCTAGTCTTCTGTGTATGTGATGTTAATTTCTTTTATTGCATTATAAAATAAAAGGATTATGTATTTTTAACTAAGGTGAGACATTGATATATCCTTTTGCTACAAGCTATAGCTAATGTGCTGAGCTTGTGCCTTGGTGATTGTTTTAACTGATTACTGTAGATCAACCTGATGATTTGTTTGAAATTGGCAGGAAAAATGCAGCTTTCAAATCATTGGGGGGAGAAAAAGGATGTCTTTCAGGATTATTTTAATTTTTTCATAATTGAGACAGAACTGTTATGTACCATAATGCTAAATAAAACTGTGGCACTTTTCACCATAATTTAGTGGAAAAAGAAGACAATGCTTTCCATATTGTGATAAGGTAACATGGGGTTTTTCTGGGCCAGCCTTTAGAACACTGTTAAGGTACGTACGCTACCTTCATGAAAGGGACCTTCGTGCAACTGTAGTCATCTTAAAGGCTTCTCATCCACTGTGCTTCTTAATGTGTAATTAAAGTGAGGAGAAATTAAATACTCTGAGGGCGTTTTATATAATAAATTCGTGAAGAAATGTGTGCTCTTCAGTTCTCAAGTTTTATTATTACGGTACTGAAGTTCTATGATTGTAATAATGTATCCATATGACAAATTTTAAAGTGATAATTGAAATAGGTTATCAGCTACAGAATTCACATCAAGTAGACTTCTAACAGAGTCACAATGAACCTACCCTTAAAATTTTAGAGGGAACAAATCATCAGTTGCACAGACTAGCTGCTCTAGCTTGCTTAATTATGCTAGGCATATGTTGTCACTCCCCTTACTTTTGCTGCATGGAATGTCCCTGAACAATAAGGAAGAGGAAAACATAGAAATTTTGACGATAGTGGATACTTCCTCTACCCCAAATGTTATGTTATAAAAGTGCTTTTTTGCCCAGGTACTCTATTATATAGTTTGGTTTTCTTTGAATTAGACCTCAATCTCCAGGAAGCTCTGGAGGGAAAAAAAGGAACCATAAACTAAAGTAACTGGTTTTCCAAATAGATGCTAACTTTTTTTAACTTTCATTATAGAACTTTTCAAACATAAAACATGAAAACAGCCTGCAGCCAAACTTTTCTGGACCTTGGCAGCTCCAGCAAATGAGCTGGTCATCCTAACCTTGGTTTCCTGAGATAACTACTTTTGGGGATGCTTGCTTGTATAGGGAGATCCATATCAAAAAGAAACTTGAAAATGAGGCTTCAAACACCTTGCTGATGTTATTCATCCCTCCTCGGTACAGACATTCTGTTAGAACAGATGGTTGTAATGGGGCAGCATCACTCCCTGTTCCCATTAAAAACATGACCCTTCTGAGATTCCAGGCCCCTTTGAGGAATTTTTCTCAAGAATTCCATACAAACTGTCAGAGAAAGAAATGTCATCCCAAGACCAGTTCCTGTGTACTCTTGATCCCTTTACCTGCTTACTGCAATTTTTTTTTCTGACTTTCCGCCAGTGTCTGTCTAAGGGCCATCTGTACCCCTCCCACACTTCCATGGGCCACTGTATAATCCAAAACACACCTTCCATTTGCTCCCTCATTTGGTTGCCTCCTTTTACCTCAACAGTGTTAGTGTGTAAAGAACTGCCTGGGGAGGGTAGAGGGTTTTACAAGTACAGAGTCCCAAGTCTTTTTTCTCCCCTCCCTGTTAATGGGTTGGCATTTGTTAACAGCCACTGCAAGATTTTGATGCAGGTGTGGGGTAGATATCACTGTGAAAGGCTACTAATCCATGACAGTTTCACTGAAAGTACAGTCTTCAAGGATCCTTATAACCTCCTCATTGCCAAAATCAGTAACACATATCTATAACCTTGACTGTACCCTAACTTGAGCTGTTGCTTCTCTGGCTGCTTATTTTTCCTTCCCAGTTTACCCAGATTTTGGATGGATACTCCTCCAGTTCTGCTTAAAGTCCTTACCTGTTCTTGCCCAGTTCTTTCTGGTCAACCTCAGGCACTCCCAAAGATTCTTCCCCAATTCTGTATCTTCTACTCAGACCTCTGTCTCCAGGATTTCTTCCTGCTACCTCAAAGTCAGTAGGCCTAAAAACAAAATTCTTCATCTTGCATCTCTGTCGACCATTCTTTGTTTCTTTTTACGAAATGTAACCTTCACCCCAGTCATCAAAATCTCTCATTCCACAATTGTCACAGATTGTCAATTCTTTCCCCGTAAACCCCTCCTGTCATTCCTCCTTTATTTATACTGCCCTTATAGGTCCTGATCCTCTGACTCACCTGGACATTCTTAGCAGCTGCCTAATTTAATTCCCTGACTCTGATCTCCCTCTTCCAATCCTTTTCATTGTGCTAGAACACCGTCTTGCTAATTTTAATATTCTCTGCGTTCAGTGCCTCCACAAATTGCCGCCTCACTGACCCTTTCCAATTTGGCCATGGGTTACACACTTTTCTCCCTGCATTCCTACCCAGCATCTTGTCATATTTCTCAAATACTCTTCATGACCAGGTTTTTAAAGTACCTCATCCATGAAGACTTCATCAACCCCCAGAGTGCCTCCAGTGTTTCCATGGTAGCACGGCATGGTGGGGTACATTTCTTAGTTGAACAGTGAGGAGTCACTGGAATTCTTACGGAGTGTCTTAGGGTCTGCTCTTGATACTCCTTCCACATTTCAGTTAAGGAATATCTTTTTTCTTTTAATAACCTTTGCCTGGAGTGTAAGTAAATTCATGATGGATATTGTCCCTTTTAAAAAAAAAAAAAAAAACCTATTTGCCTTTCACATGTTATTGCCTCCATTTTTCTGTTATCTTGTCAGTGTTGCCACCTAAATGATTGAAAATGACCCAGCATGCAGTAGAATGTAGTGAAGCTTCCTATTTCATCCATTTTTTTCATAAGTGCATTGGTATCTATATATGCATCTGCCCAAGCACCAGTTGTTGAAAAGACTATTTTAATTTCCCCATGAATGGTCCTGGGACCCTTGTGAAAGAACAGTTGACCATAAATGTAAGACTTTGGATTCTCAGTCTTAACTCTGTTGTCATATATGTCTATCCTTATACCAGCACCGCACTGTCTTGATTGCTGTAGCTTTGTACTAAGTTTGGATTTGGGATGTGCAAGTCTGCCGGGTTTTTTTCCCCCAAAATCATTTGTCTATTTTCAGTCCCTTGCATTTCATACGAATTTTAGGATCATTGTGTCAATTCCTGCAAAGCTGGGATCTTGATAGGGATTTAGTTGAATTGATAAATTTGAGAAATAACTGCTATTTTAATGGTATTAGGTTTTCTATTCCATGACTGTGAGATGTCTTTGCATTTGCTTAGGTCTTTAGTTTATTTCAGTGATGTTTTATAGATTTCAGTGTACAAGTCTTGACTTCTTTAATTTTTTTCTAAGTATCGATGCCACTTTATATGATTATTTTCTAATTTTTATTTTTGTATTCATCACTGGTCTTAGTAATAAAATTGATTTTTGTATGTTGATCTTGTGTATTGTAGCTTTTCTAAAATTCTATTTTTTTGGTCACTTAGTATTTTTTGCTTATGAGATCATGCATCTGTGAACAGAAATACCTTCTTCCTTTCCAGTCTATATTCTTATTATTTCATTTTCTTGTCTTAGTGTACTGGCTGGCACCTCCAGTACAGTATTGGATAGAAGTGACAAGAGCAGACATCTTTTTCTTGTTCCTGATTTTAGGGGGAAAGCATTCAGTCTTTCGCATTGAGTATGATGTTAGCTCTGGGTTTGCATCAAGTTGAGGAAATTCTTTTATTAAACCTAGTTTACTGAGTGTTTTTTAATCAAAAAAAAAAAAAAAAAGGAGGGGGTATGGATTTTGTCAAATGCTTCTTCTGTATCAAGATTGTCATGTTGTTTTGTCCTTTATTCTATTAATATGTTGTATTAATGGACTTTTGTATATTGAATTAACCTTGCATTCCTGGGATAATCTCAGTTGTCCATGCTACATAAACCTTGTTCTATGCTGCTAGATTTGGTTTGCTAGTATTTTGTTCAGAATGTTTGCATGTATATTCATAAGGAATATTGGTCTGTAGTTTTCATATTATATATCTCTCTGGTTCGGGGATGAGAGTCATACAGCTCTCAGAATGAATTGGGGGCTTTCCCTGTTCCTAAACCTACTGAGGTATTTTTTAATTCTTGGAGACCTTCAGCTGTGATCTTTAGATGCTAGGAGACACAGGGATGGTACCTGACTCTGAAAAGGGTCTCAGGGTAAGACATGTCTGAAGTGGCCTGTGGCAACTAACTAAAGAGTACTCCCACCAATAATGGAGTCAAGATGTTATGTTTCCCAGGGGCCACACTGGTCACTGAAAAGAGATGGACTATGAGCCATCTGGAAAACTACCCTGCACGAGTGGACTGCCTGCCTGGAGCCAGGCACCCTGCAGCTGAGTGCCATATAATGTTGAAGCTGTTGAGGGAGGAGAGGTTGGAAGCTGCCAGCTTAGAGAATCTCAGCGGTGGTTCCCAGCAGCGTGTATTCCAGGAAAGAGTCATTCCCCACCCTGGCTCAGAGTAATAATTAACAGTGACTGGGTAAGGCAGGATCTTTTCTTCTAATTCCCTCCCCTCCAGAAAGGGCAGCAGCAGCTCTTGAATGGGAAAGAAGGTGGAGGGAGGAAAAGAAAAACCAATTTCCCCACACTGCTGTCTTTAAGCTTCCCACTCAAAGGCCTCAGTAAGAGGGAGAATTATGTTTTCCATTAAGAGAGAGTTTGGTATCTTGATGTTTCAAAGGTGTGGGCTTTTTAATGCCCTAGAAAAACTGATGATTTGTTGATTACCAAAAAGGGACCAGAAAAGCTACACAGCCTGAGATTTCATCCCCAGAAAAATGAATCCAGAGAGCAGACTTGCAGAAAAAAAAAATGTGTTCTGCCCCTGCCTCTCCCACACACATAGTGAGAAAGAGTCTTCATCATTTGGTAAATTAGACCTGTGGAAAGACTCGGGACATTTAGGATGATGATATTTATGATGAGGAAGATTTCTATGGGAAACTTTTTAAGTTGTCTCTAATCCTATTCCAACTGAAGTTTGAATTTTTTTCCTTTCATTAACATTTACTGACCAAATACCTATTGAATGTTTGCCATTTTGCAGGGTGCCACGGATTTCAGGCTGATTGAGAGCTGCTTTGTTGAATCAAGGAGTCTACTACAGGGAGACAGTCTAGTTAGAGCAGGCATAAGTACAAACCACTAAGGATAAAAGAAGTATGTGAAAGTACAATGTGGGCAGAGAATTCAGATCCAAAAATACTGCAGATAGGTGATGAAGGTCAAGCCAAATCTTGACAGACAGGATAGGTGTATGTGAGGCAGATAGGCAGAAGCTCTTTAGTATGTCTGAGTGCAGGCTGTAAGGAATCAAGATGAGACTGGGATAATGAGGGCCTTACAGACCATACCAAGGACTTTGGACTTTATTTTGCAGACGTTAAGAAGCAAAGACAATCAGTTTTACATTTTATGTTTATTACAAACTGAAAGAGCACAAGTGTACATGTGGTCTTTGCAGTTAAGTTACTGCTATAATTTTTAAAAGGCAGACAATCTGAGGATAGAAGGGAGGCCAGAGTCCAAGACATGCTAGGGACTTGGTGATCGATTCAGTGCTCATGCATGGGAGAGTTAAGAGTCAAAGACAGCTCCCCCATTTCAGGTTTTGAGAGCTGGGTGGACAGTGTTGCTGTTGGGTCTACAGAGAAGAAGAGTGGGTTTTGAAGGGAAAATTATTAATAGTACAATTGAATGATGTTTTAGTTGTGTCTGAGGGATATCCAGGGAGAGCTGTCCTGAGGCAGTTAAAAATACAGGTCTAGAGAAAAATGTATGACTGCAGCACATAGACCATAGCTGAACCCGTGGCCAGGAAAATTATCCTGGAAAAGGCAGAGAGGAGAGAAGGACAAGGATGGGATCCATGGAAATGCTAGCATTTGAGAGTTACACAAGGAACCCACAGCAGAGGCAAATGAGAAAAAGCAGGTTTGTTTTTGTCTGCTCCAGTAGACAGACACCAAGCTCCATGAGGGCAGAGACTTTGTCTTTTTCGTGGCTGTACCTCCAGTGCACAGAGCAGACTGTACATGTGCTTTGTGGATCCAGGCAGTTACTGGGGTGTCTCAGAAACTTTCCATCCTCGTCCCTACTGTGTCTGCATAACCCTGGCCAAGCCTCCCTTTTCCCAATGTCAACTCTCACTGTAACTTTTAAGGAGGGCATATATCTACTTACTGTCATCACCATAAAGATAAATCAGCCAAGTGAAAATATTTTGAAACTTTGGAAATATATAAACTCCAAAATCATCAGTTATATCAATTACATACATTACATAATGATGTAATGACTCTGGCATCCTAAAGATCCCATCACTGTGCCTCACACTGGGGTCTTGCCTACTTCTCTGTTCCAAAAGGGGACAGTAGTGGTATCAAATCTGTTTCTTGAGGCAAATGAAGTACCTTGCTCCAAAATAATCACCCACAGCAGGCAGGTAACCTCCAAGTGCTTCAAGCTGAGATTGAGCAGGAGGATCCCAGCTTATCACAACTGGGTGGTAAATAATACACTTGGGCCCAAATGGAAGGAAATGCATTACCCTACGATGCATTTCAGAAGTTACCCCAATATGCTTGCATCCAGGCCCTAAATCCAGCAAAAAAGTGCCATGCCATTCACCTTCAACATGTGTTAATAGAACTGAGATATATTTCAAATTTAAATTGTGTTCCCCAAAGTATTCATTATTCCATAGTGCCTATTACAATCTGTATTTTTATGTTTACTTCATGACTGCCTAATTCCCTCCTTAAATGTTAAGCCTCATGACAGTAGGAACGTATCTGTTTTATTTGCTCCACTGTCCTATACACACATACTTGTTGAATGAATGTATGAATGCCACGGTGATTGCAAAGTCCAAGGGCCTGATTTGTCAACCAGACTTCCAGATTTCTACAGAAATTGCCAGTAAAAGGTAGTGTAAGAACGGTTCCTGCGTGTGAAAAATGATCTTGGATGGAGCTGTTCTGGCATTCAGCTGCTCCTCATACTCTCCTGCCACTGTGCAGGGACGGCACAACCCCTATGGTGCTTTCTTGAGTGTAGCTCATGTCAGAACAGCAGTAAAAGGAAAACCCACTTGTTTGCTTTATGTTCCTAAGAAGGTGTTGAGTAAATCAATCATGTTATCCTAAGTGACTTTAATTTTATGAAGGCTCCTTTGTTTCCCCTGCACTCCTTTCTACCCATCTCTACTCCCACCTCCACCCCCACCCTCAAATCATGCTATAATTTCCATTCACTTAAGGGTGGCTTTTATCTCATCACAACCATCTGTGTGCTTTAAATAGCTTCTACGTAACCGAAGTGGAAGCAGTCGTGTAGAAGAGCACATGGCCACTCCAGGGAACATGAGAAGCCTCTGCCTGAAGGTAGGCCTCCCTTCTGTCATCTGGTCTCACACATGGCACTGCAAACCTGCAGTTATTTAGCCATGTGCTTTGTGACATTAATTTCACTTTCTTGGGTTATTCTTACCATCTTTAGGGAACTTAAATATTTAAGAAACAAATACTACTCAAAGAGAGCTGTACCATTATTATATTCATTTAAGTGAAAAACTACGGCCTCCCATATATATTTATCTCATGACCTCCTAAATTGATAAAAATATGTTAACTGTTGTCTTACATTGCCTCAGGGAAAAAGTCTGGATGTTGACTGGAGGGACTGCAGGATAGCCATTCGATACCTGCTTTTGTGACGAGCTAAAGCAATTGGATTTTGGTGGCTTAGGGGTAAAAATGGCCCGACAGATCATCTTGCCCAGCCCTCAGCATATGGAGGAGAAAACTTAGGTCTCAAGCTGTGAAGCACTTTGCTCAAGAACACTGGCCATTTCATATATGTAACAAGCTCCTACTTCACGCTCATTTCACAGTAGCGTGTCACTTGCAGGTCCGCTTCCTTCAGTGGGCATTGTCTTCGCTTAATTAAATGTCAGGAGGTCCCCCCAAGAAGGCTTGACTCAAGGAAGGAGGAGGGAGGGCAGACCCTCCCAGTTCTCTCATTGACTAACTTTCATTTGTTGGATTGTTTTTACTGATAAAAGTTCAGAAATTAGAGCCAGGTTCCTGTTCCTGTTCCCTACCCAAGCCCCTGAAGAAGCAAATTAGTGAATGTTCCCCAGATTCTTTTACTTTCTAGTATGCAGTAAGCAATACTGCCAAAAAGTTTCCCAGAGTCATGTTCCTCTTAGATATCTTTCCTTGAAAACTGTTGTTTGGCATGGAGATCCAAGCTGGTGTGGAAAGTTCCAGATGCCCTGGTCCCAGCCTCACCTGCCCTGCTTTGCTGCCTGTTCTCACTGCTTGTCTCCATATTTCCATTTGAAGTCCTGCGGTGCTACTGTGCCCTGAGTTCACTTTCTTACTGTTAAATCCTGCCTTGCTTGCCATGTTTTATAGATGAGGAAAGCATTTTCTACCAGAGCTCAGGAGCAGCCTTGAGGTCAGGGGTAAGGTTTTTCATTGGTAAGTATTCAGTAGTTACTGAATGACAATTGGGTGGAAAGGGAAGGGGTGCCTTAGAAAAAATGTCTATTATTTGTGGTAATGAAATTGCTTCCAATTTATTTTCTGATCTCTTTGAGAACTATTTACTGTCCTCTTTCTGCATCATGCATTCTGATTTCTGGGGCATTCAGTGCTCCCTCCCTCCCTTTATTCAATGGGTTCTTGGAAAAGAAATCTTTGAAGAGAAAATGTGTGGGCAGTGGGAGAC